ATAGGGGAGATGCTGTGCCAGAGCAGCATGGCTTTTTCATCTTTGGAGCCTCTGCTGCCTTCCTGTGCTGATCAGAAATAAACCCAGAGCTTGCTTGTAGCATAGCACGTAGGAGAGACAACTGCACTGCAGACAAAGGAGTTGGTGGGGCACCTGCCCTCTCCTGACTGTAGCTGGCTTGTAATTTAATGGACACTGTTCTGTTTCTTCTCCCGCTGCCAGATATTGTGATTCCGGGTACAAACACGTCCACTGATGTACAGGCAAGAATCAGTGCTGGTGAGAGCATCCACATCATCCGAGGGACAAAAGGTAAGTCCTAGCCAATGCTGAGTAGCAAAGAAAAGGATGTAAAAGCATGAATCAGTGCCTTGACAGGAAAAGAAACAAGAAGGGGAGGAGATCTGGAGTTTGCAGTGGCTCTGTTGCAGCCCATGCTCTGGGTGTGTTGATGCTGCAGGGCTGTTGCAGCTGTGGCTGCTCCTGTCACCCTGAGAGGAGCTGTTGAACTTTGTGTCTGGGTGTCTCCTTTTCACAACACCCTCTGCATGTACTGGGGCAACCAAACACTTCCTGGTGCTCCCAGAGCAAACTCTGTCTCAAGCATGAAATTCCACATTTCCCACCAGCAACACATTGGGAGGGGTTGATCCCCAACCCAGGAAAGCTGCAAAGGTGTAAGTGAGGAGTGAAGAAGGAGACAGAAGCACCTCGCTGAGCTTCCCTGCATGATCTGAGCTGACCTTATGCAGCACTGCTGTCCTGTTCCTGCCTGAGCAGCCTTACAGGCTCACAGATCCAGGGTCCTGAGCTAATACTGGAGTTGTAATGATGTTGTTCTGCCTCTGTTCCAGGGACGTATATCCGGACCAGTGACGGTCGGATTTTTGCTATACGGACCACTGGGAAGCCAAAGGGCAATGAAGACCGTCGGACAGCTGCCTCAGGTAGGGACCTGTGAGTGCTGTCTGAGGCTTTCACATGTGCTTTCCTACTTGAGTGTCTGGGGTGGCTTTCCCTAGTGTATTCCTCACGCCTATGTTTGGAGCAATCTCCCCACCTTCCTTTCCACTGTTGCGTTTTGGCCCCCAGGTTTTTCTCCAAGGTCGTCTTTCTCACCTGCTCCATCTCCTTGTTTCCAGGCTCCCAGAGCTCCTCCCTGGAGTCCACAAGCAATGGCAGACACAGTGCCTCATCGCCGCAGCTCCCCAGCACGGAGGAGCTCACCCGGCCCATATCCCCCGACAGCCCCGAGATCATCAGCGAGCTGCAGCAGTATGCGGAGGCGGCGGCCGCGCGCGAGTCCCGGCACAGCTCTCCCAGCACCAACGCGGCGCAAGGCCACGCCCGCACGGACACCGCGCCAGGTGCCGCAGCCCGAGGAACCGAGCAGCGTGTGGGGGTTCACTGCCTGGCCCCCTCTGTGTCCTCGGCCCTGCCAGCCACCAGCCAGCACGTTGATGCCCACTCGGTGTTGGACTTACGGGGCAACAAGCGCAAGTCGACCTCGCCGTCGGCTCCGGAGGAGCAATCCCGCAGGCAGCAGAAGAAGCGCCAGTTGCCATCGTCCGTGCAGCCCTACGAACACGGGTACCCCGTCTCTGGTGGGTTCACCATGCCTCCTGTCTCTTTAAACCACAACCTAACCCATCCATTTGCCTCCCAACCAGGAAACTCCTTGTACATGGGCACTGGCTCCTCTTATTACCAGCTGCCCAATTTACTCCCAGACCCTCATCTGGTGTTCCCTGTGACTACTGACCCTCTGCTGACAGCCGGCACCGCCAGCTCTTCTGCTGCTACCTCAGCCACCGCCAGCGTCCCCTCATTCATGCTAAACCCTTCTCTGACAGGGGTACTGCCCAATTATTCGCTTCCCTTCACGCAGTCACTCCTGCCCGAGCCCAGGATGTTTGCTCCTTTCCCAGCCCCCGTCTTGCCTAGCAGCCTTCCCAGGAGCATGGCATCTGCCTACCCTGGCTACATGTCCCCTCACTCGGGCTACCCAGCTGGGGGTCTCCTTCGGTCCCAGGTGCCTCAGTTTGAACCCCAGGAGGTCCCAGAGGTGGGATGCAGCTCTAATGACGAGGACAAAGACGACGATGTCATAGAGATCACAGGGAAATAAAAAGGGCCAGCTCCTGCTTGGTCTCAGCTCCACCAGGAGGCAAAAGTTGCAGAACCTTTTTTGGGAGTCAGGATTTCCCCTCTGGGCTGTGGCAGCGGGTGGAGAAGGATGCAAAGGGTGTGGCGTGGGGGTGGTTTTGTTCTTTTTGTTTTGCTTTGTTTTTTAGCTGTCGAGGATAAGAATTGTATTAGGGACTGGGAGATGGGAGAGGGATAGAATGGACCTGTGAGGGCCAGGGGAGCAAGAGCCAGGGGAGGAGGGAAGCAGCAATGCAAACCATAGGAGTGCCTCCCCCCATGCTCTGTCTGTCTGTCTGTCTGTGTTCTCTGTCTTGTCTGACCGCGGCGGCTCGGTGTTGCGAGTCACTGCCCTGCTCAGGCCTGGCGGTGCGGGCTTGACCGCTGGCAGGGCCGAGCTCCCTCTCACATGAACTGCCTTATCTGTGAACTTCTCTCACTGAGAGAGGGGTGGGCCAGGGGGGTGACTCCAGCAGAGGTTGGGGACAAAGTGTTTTTAATGGGGAGGGAGTGGGGAGGCTTCTACATTGTATATGTTGGGGCGGGGGGGGGGGGGTGTGTTAAAAAAAAAAAAAAAAAAAGATAAAAAAAAGATAAAAAAAAAGAAAATACCCCACAGACAGTTTGTCACCCTCTTCAAATTCACATGAGACTAGTGTGAAGGCTCCAGGCAGGCTCCTGCTGCAGTCAGAAGGGCAAGGCTCTGGTGGGGGGCTCCTCCAGGCCCTTCTGGAAGGTCCTGTCCTCCCCAGGGACCTTCTGGAGGGTCCCATCCAAGGTAGGTTGGCCCTGTGGGTCCAGTGCCAGCTCTGTGTGCCAGGCCAGATGAGTGGAGCAATCCCAGATGTCTTGGTGGCCATCGGAGGGGAATCCTGGTGACTCCTCAGCTCCACGGCCCTGCCAGGCTATGTGAAGGCCACGTCTCACCCTGCTGTGGCCCACCAGATCCAGGTGTAGGTGGGCTCACTGCTGCTTCTCAACAGCACCAGGCAGTGGAGAAGATTGGGAGGGGGACACTGGACCCAGTGCCAGTTGCTGTTGAATCTGTGACTGGAGGGACTTCCCCCTGCACAGAACCTCTACATTAATTTATTTCATGAAAGCATAATATTTATTGTCTGGGGGAGTCTGTCTTTCTACTTTTAAATTAATTTCCATATTAAAAAAAATAAAAAACTGGCCTCCATCATGCAGTGGTCGCTTGTTGGGTTGTTTGTGTGGGGAGAAGCAGTGGGTTGACCGAAGTGTAGCCTTAGGAGCGGGGCCAGCTGTGGAGGTGGCCCATGGCTGACCCGTGTGGCATTGGCTGGATGTGCCCCATCAGGAGCTGCTCTGGGTGCTCAGCAGCCAGAGCGAGGATGGAGTCCTCTTGTCATTGGGCAGGTGGGGGAGCACATGTGGGAGCCTGCTGTGCTCCTTCCCAGTGAGGAGGACAGCTGTGAGGTGTGTGGAGCTGGGAAAGCAGAGCTCCTGCTGGGGAAGCACCTTTCCCCACACAGGGAGCAGCACTCAGCCCAGCCCTGCTCAACCCCATGTGTGAGGAGGCTGGTCCTGGCCCTGACAGTGAGCCCTCTGGCTGCTCACCTCAGGGCCAGGGCTTCTAGGAAGAGCTGGGATACCCAAGTGCAGCTGGACTTGGTGCGTGTGACTGTGTGTGAACGCGTTAGGATGGAGACTTGAAATCCAGGAACCCCCATGTCACATCTGGGTGTCACCAGGCACGAGCTGTGCTCGCCTGTGTGGGATGTCCCTGGAGCCGTGGCAGCTTGTAGGGGACCTCTGGAAGCTGCAGTCACTGCTGTTTGCTGGGACCAACTAGGTATAGGAAAGGGCAGGATGTCCTGACATCCTCCACTAAAGGGGTGTGGGAAGATGGGGACCCCCCTTCCTGAGAGGGGGGCGGGTGTGCACGCGTGTTATGGAAACATAATAAAAATGTTATGGGGCTTTCCTAGTGTCTTCTCTGTTTAATGGACATTGTCTGTCAAACATAACCACACCATTCATAGAAGCCTTAGATCAACAGTTTAGCTATGCAAATTATTTTAATTATTTTTTTAAAAAACAAACATTAAAATAGTGCTTTCTTCTTTAACATATCCTAGGAGTTGAAAACCGAGGGGTTCTGAGCAAACTGCTGGACAACTTGTCTTTGGATGCACCATGGAAATAAAAATCAAACCCCCCCACAAAAGTAACAAAGCAAATTAACTGATGGTGTTCATGCAAGTTTCTCCAAAGACTTGACAGTGCTGCATCTGTGAGTCATGCCCTCCTGTGCTCTGTGTGTCCACCTCATGCACAACCCTGTGACACTGATTGTATGACCAGCTTGCCCAGATGTCCGTTGCATCCCTGTGAGGCTGTCAGTTTTCCGGTGGATTTGGGGAATGAACCTAGGCAAGGGTTTTCCTTGTCGAGAGTAGCAAGCATTGAGACCCTGGGGGCACGTGTGGGAGGCTGGAATGTAAGCAGACCCCCACTAGAGCCCTGCTGCAGCCCCAGTCCTTCCTGATGGGGGGTCAGGGTAGTGGGGCTTATCCAAGGGACCCTCCCGCATCTTCTGAATGGGGCCTGTGCTGGGACAAGGTGTGAAGATTTGGCTGGGGACAGTCAGTGTGGTGGCTCTGGATGTGATACTGGTGGCTGCACACCATTTTCTCTGCTCCTTGCCTCTCCAGGACTTCCTGAGCAGGCCCTGGCACATCTCCATGCTGCCACCCGATGTCCTCCCGGGGTTCCTCAGCATAGCCCAAGCCCTGGGGCAACGGGAGCTGGGGGCAGCTGGCACTCGGCTACCATGGGGTACACACTTTGTACCCTGTTCTGGTTGTTAACCTGGCACCAGGGTGAGGTGTGAGGGCTCTCCTGGCTCCTGCATGGCCATGGCAGCTTGGAGACCCCTTGCCACCCTTCTGTGGTGTGCATGCCCCTGGCAACCATCCCTGGCTCCAGGCAGCTGCAGCATGTTGGCCCTGCCCAGCAAGTGCCCAAGTACAGCCCCAGCCCTACCTCTGCCCCACCTTCCAGCCCCAGGCACCCCCTTAGTGAGGGGACGGGTCCCCTGGGCCCTGGCAGAGCCTTGGCTGAGAGGTGGTGGCAGAGATGGCCATGATGCCCTGGCCACAGCTGGGGGCTGGCTGGGGCTGGGGCTGCTCCAAGGCAACCGGAGGCACCTGCTCTCCCACTGTGCCAGGGGAAGGATTTCCTCTACCCCACAGAAACTGCGAGGGAGCATGGGTTATCCAGAGTCTTTCCCAGTGGAGGGAGCTCTCCAAGCCCTAAAACTTCCCTCCCATGGGACCCACTCTCGCCCTCGTCTCTCCCCAGTTTTCTTCTCTCCAGCATGTGGTTCTGCTGCAGAGGGTCCTGTCTTGGGTTTCATGAGCCCAGAACAGGGGCTTTCCCTGCACGGGTTAAATTTTTCTTTTGCTGCTGTATTTCTGTCTCCAAATGACCTGACGGGAAGCAGCTGCCAGTTCTCGGTGGGGTTGTGGGTGACACTGAGGACAGCAGTGCAGGACTCTCTGCTGAGGATTTGGACAATAAGGAAGATTCCTGAGCACAGCCTTGAGGCCTGGGCATTGCTGTGGGGAATTGGGAATGGCCAACTGCCCTCCACATCAGCATCCAGCCCTTGGCCCTTCCCTCAGGTGGGAGGTTTCCACTCCTGGGAACAATCAGGTGAAGGCTGGGTGCCACTGAAGACAGTGCCATGGGCATGGAGGTGGCTGCTGTGTGCCCTGATCTTGGTGGGCTTGTTTCCCCCACTGCTGATGAAGATCTTGGGGTATCATAGGGAACTGCAGGATGGGGGCAACACAGCCCAGCATGTCCCACATTGGGCAGAATCTGCTGCTCATCATCCTCCCAGAGCACCTGGGAGGGTGATGGGGTGGGTGCAGGTACTTGGAGAAAGCAAATATTCTGGCAAGCAAAGGGTGGGATTTCCACAGGGGCTTCACTAGAAATTATGTGTGTTTTGACTTAGTGATGTCAGCGAATCATAGACTCATAGAATGGTTTGGGTTGGAAGATCATCTCATTCCAACACCCTGCCATGGGCAGGGACACCTCCCACTATACCAGGTTGCTCCAAGCCCCATCCAGCCTGGCCTTGGACGCTTCCAGGGGTGGGGCATCCACAGCTTCTCTGGGCAACAAATTCAAGTGGCTGAATGCACGAGAATTGCTGCTGGTTTGGGGGCGGCTTCCCGGACAACAGGGACAAGTACAGCAAATACCTTCACAGCTGGTGTTTCTCGCCGCTCTGGGATGAATTTTGTTAATCCAGTCTTGGAAGGACCCGGGGGGGAGGGCTGGGGCGGGGGGCAGAGGTTAAACGGGGAACGTAGTCCAGCTAGATTACAGTGAGGTGATGGCTCCTCACAACTAGGAGCAGGCGCTCCCTGCAAAGGGACAACGGGGCAAGTGAGGGAGAGCAACCTCTGCCACCTCCCAGGCTACCACCACTGCCTCGGCTGCTTCGTGGTACCCAGCTTGGAGCTGGAGTCTGGCAAATCCACGGGAGCCTGAAGGAATCCATCACTGAGTCTCATTTGGGGTTTTGTGTTGGTTTGAGTTTCTTTTTCTTTTTTTTTCTTTCTTTTCTTTTTTACTACCGCCTTAGTTTGTGGCCTGTCTTGTTGTGGTTGGAAAGAGGAGTATTGCTAGCAGGGTGGGTTGGTCGGTTGGCCCCACGCATGATCATGTGCTTCCCTCTTCTCTCTGTCGAACGGGATGTGCTCACCTGATCTCCCAGAACAGAGACTTTGAACAATTTGTTGTTTATATGATGTATTTATTTTTACTTGTGTTTCATGTCATTTTTTAAAAAAATAATAAATTGTAAGTTGGTATAACTGCCTGTTGCTTCTCTCTCTTTGGTTTTTGGGTTTTTTTTCCAGTAATATAAATGTCAAAATTAAAAAAAGGAAGCGGTGTGGTTTGAAGTGGGTTGGAGCTGGGCTGGGCATGGGCATCTCTGCACACCTGGAGCCCAGGCTCAGCCAGCAGCCATTTCCTGCTGCCTCCAGCAGCACCTGGGCTCCACTGGCACCTCGGCAGCTGCCCAGGTGAGCCCCCTGGCACCTCCAGAGGGGAAGGAGGCTGGATGCACCAGTGTCCATGGCCTGGCTAGGTGCTGCCGGGAGTCAACAAACCATTGGGAGAGCTGGTTCTTGCCTTTCTCTGTCCTCTGTGCTTATTATTGCTGCTGATAATGATTGTCATCAAGGGCCAGGGGAAAACAAGGAGAATAAATATTTTGCAGGTAAATAGAGTCTCAGAGAGCAGGCGCAGGCTGTGTGCCCCGGCCCTGGTGCTCCTGGGGCACATGGAGAAGCAGCTGGGACTGGCAGGGATTGAGGTAGTAACAGCGAGGCATTTCTGCACGGGAAGGTGAGAGGTCTCTCAGAGCTGATGCCAATGAGAAGGGCCCTGGAGAGATCAGTAAGGGAGCTGTGGGCAGCCCTGGCTCCCTCACAGGCGCTGGGGGTGCCTCCGCACCCGGCCGTTCTTGCTGTCCGGGGATGGGTATTTCTGGTGCCAGGCTCTCTGCCGCTGCCTCTCCTGGTGCCGCAGGGCGTTGCAATAGGCGTCCAGGCTGGTGCCCGGGGCGCCCAGGGCCCGCGGGAAGCCCTTGTAGCCCGGCTGCAGGTCAGTGCGGGGCCGGGGGCTCTGGTGGGTCCCTCCGAGCTCAGCCCCCTTGCTCCGTTTGTAGGGCGGCAGCTCCATGGCCTCGTGTCCGATGACGCGGAGGCTGTATCGGCTGAGGGGCCGCGAGAAGGAGCGCTCCACCGCCTGGCACTCGTAGGTGCCCACGTCCTCCCTCGCCAGCTGGCGGATCAGCAGCCCTTGCTCCAGCACCAAGAAACGTCCATTGTTCCTGATCTGGGGCAAAGGCAGAGAACCCAGGTCAGTCCCTGGCGACCGAGCCACCCCTGCTGCCCGTCCCCACTGCCCCGTGCCCCGCACCTCGCTCGGGCCCGTCTCCTCGCCGTGCCGCACCAGCCACCGCAGCGTCGTCTGCGGGGAGCGCGCCAGGCACTCGAGGAAGGTTGAGTTCTTCTCCACCCCGAAAACCAGCTTCTCCAAGGCAGCAGTCCCTGTGCAGGGGATGGGACAGGGGAAGGGGTGAGTGCCCTGCGTGGGACCTGCGTGACAGGCGGAAGGGAGGGCAGCACGGAGCACCCAACGTGAGGTGGGGGCACTGGTTTCCCAGCTCCATCCCGCCCGCCCTCCTGGGCATGGCTGCTCCCTGGCAGAGCTGGCTGCCCACACTGGGGCTTCTTAGAGGGGCTGGGGCTGGTGCTCACCCTCTGCTGTGCCCTGGCACTGGCTGAGGGAGTCAGACTTCAGCACGTCCTGGCAGCGGGCACGCCTGTGGGAGAGCAGACAGGGCTGTGGGGTGGCACCCACCCTGGGCTGTGGGACCCCTCCATGGCACAGCAGCCAGGGAGAAGGACCAGAGAGGGCTGAGGCAGGCAGAGTAGCAGTAGGGGTCTGGGCTGGTGGATAGAGCTCCAAGGCTGGCACTTGCCCATTCCTACTTCTGACAGCATCCCTTTGCAGGAGTACAGCAGGGCTGGCCCAGGTAGACACTCACCTCTTCTCAGTGAGCAAGTGTGGGGCACAGGTCTTGCCATCCCAGGTGCAGTAGGGATCCCTGGCCAGGCAGCAGTCGGTGCAGGTTTTGCCATAGAGCTCACAGCGGTACAGGGAGAGCTGGACCAGCCCATGGGTGCTGCTCACAAACAGCTCCTGCTGCTCGGGCAAGAGGAACAGCAGCAATCAGAGCCCATGGCTGGAGACCAGGGCTGGCAGGGAACAGAGCTCCTGCCCCGTGCTGGGGTGGGGACACTGGGGGACAGCAGGAATGTGAGACAGAGCCTGCCACCTCCCTAATGCCCTGGCAGGATCCCATTCCCTAAATGTGCAAGCCCTGGGGCCAAGGGACTCAGGTAGAGGGGTTGGGATCAGTTGCCCTCTGTCCCTGTCCCTGGGCTGCTTTAGGGAGAAGCAGGAGGGAGGACTCACCCGTTTCGGTGATAACTTCATGTCCAGGATGGGAGAAGGCACCTGGAGGGGAAGGAGAAGGTGCTGAAGCCATGTCAGTCCCTCCTGTGTGCCCCAACCTGTCAGTGGCATTGTGTCCCCAGGGGTGGCAGGATGCCAGGACCCTGGCCCAGATCCCTAGTCCCAGATCCCTAGTCCCAGCTCCTCCTGCTCCTTGCAAGCAGCTTGGTCAGCCCCTGTCCAGCCATCATGGTCCAGCCCCCGTGGTGCCATCATGGCCTCCCGTACCTTAGTGACGCTGATCTCCTCCAGGCTGATCACCTCGGTGCCGCGGCTCACCCCGCCGGCCAGCCCCACCTTCAGCACTTTGCCTTCATCTGCGAAGGCAGCAGAAGGAGCTGTCAGGGCTGGGAGCCCCTGGGACAGCGGGACCCACGTGCCACACAAGCTGCCCCGCGGTGACAGCGTCCCCAGAGCCGGTGTGAGTTCCCACCTGTGCCGAGGAAGAGCACGTCGTAGTGCCGGCTCTCCATCTCCAGCCGGTGCACCAGCAGCCGCCGCAGCCGGTACGGCACATTGACCCTCACCAGCACGGGCTGGCGGCCCTGCGGGTACACGGGCTCCCACATCAGCTGGTGGCTGCGCATGAAGCTGATCACCTCGTCGGGGAAGTCCTTGGTGGACTGCAGGAGGGGGTCGTACGTCTCGCTGGGGCACTGTGTGACACGGGGCTGCATTAGGGCCGGGCCAGTCTGTCCCGCTCCCCCCCGCTGGTGCTCCCCAGCCCCTTACCGTGCCAGGGCGGGGATAGGGGACGCGGCCCTTGTATTCTACCCAGCGGTAGTCGAATCCCTCCTTGTGTGCAAAGGGGCCGCTGAAGGCAGCTCTCACGGCAGCCATGGAGTAAACGCAGACGGCAGAACCGCTGAACACGCCGCTGTGGGGAAGCACAGGGCTGTCAGTGTCCCGGCTGCTCCACGGGGACCAGGCATATGCATGCCCACAGCCCTGAGCCCACGCTGTCCCCTGTCAGCCCTGGAGTCATGCACAGCACCCCGGGGGTGACAGGAATCCCTTAGAAATAGCCAGTCCAGCCTGTGGGACTGCTGACTGTGCTGGTGAACTAGCAGCAGGGAAAGCAGGGAAAGGCTGGTGGCCCTTCCTCAGCCATCTGGGTGCTGTTCCTGCCTTTCTCCACCCAGGGCTCCCTGTGGAGCAGCACTGATGAGGGGCTGGGGGGCTGGACTGCCCCACGCAGGGGCTAATGAGGGTCCTACTCACCTGGAAACCGTGAAGAGGCCGAAGACAAGTGGGTTCTGCGGGTCCCGGGTGCGCAAGAGAAAAACATCCTCTGCAAAGAGAGGGATTGAGGTGAGGCACCCCAGAGCTGTAGTATCAGTCCAGAGCATGCAGGCAGGCATCCTTGATGCTGTGCCCTCCTCCCTGGGAGGGAGCAGCTGTGGCAGAGCAGTGTTGCTCCCGGCTGCAGCCAGGGCTGTGCACTCACCGAGCTGGTCGAAGTGGGTCTCGGTGCCCTGGGGCCCAGGGATGGAACACACCAGGCGGGCCTTCAGGAACGTGCTCCAGCGGTTGATGAGGCTGCGCTTCCCTCCAACATCATTCTGCCAGGCACCAAGAGCTGGGGTCGGTCCAGCCTCTCTGAGCCTCCCCCACCACTGTGCCCTCCCTGTTCCCACAGCAAGGACACCCCCAGCCCTGAGCCTTCTGCCTTTTGGTCAGTGTGCAGTGGCACCCTCATGTCTCACTGTTTGGGATGCCTCTTGGTCCAGAGGAGGTAAAAGCCCACCTGGTGGGACACCCATCCACAGAACACTGGCCTTTGGCAACTGACCTTGCAGACCCTGGCCACCCTGGCGTGGATGTGCCGCCGCTCCCACTGCCCAGCTTCCATGGCTGTCTCGCGGAAGAAGATGTAAACCTTGTCATCGTGTGGGTTGTAGGTGTCAGGGATGGCATAGGCACCAATGAACGCTGGCTCTGTGGGGGGAAAGACCAGCACAACGTGGCCCTGTGTCCTCATCCCACTCTGTGGTACTGCCCTAAAAGCCCCTGGCAGGTGCTGCAGGTACACAGGGCCTGTGTAGACCTGGCTACCCAGGAGGCAGAGCCCCATTCCCAGTGCTCAGGCTGTGGAGTGCATGCTGGAGCCTTGATCCCACCAGTGGCCTCATTAGTGCTTCCCCCAAAGAGGAGAAGTGGGTGAGACCATAGAGCTCTGGCCCCAGTGGTGGCCCCAGCCTCTCCCCAGCAGTCAGGAGAACCCCCCCATGCCCCATGAGTCCCCCTGTTCCTACCGTGTAGCCAGTGGTCCTGGTTCTGCTCCGTGCGGATGTAGCTCTGCTCTGCCCCGTGGACCCAGGTCCGGAAGAAGGCAGCACTGCTGCCCATGAAGTCACTGGAGGTGCCCGAATACAGCTCCCCATCTGCAGGGTCAGGGAGGTGTGGGTGGGAACCAGCACCTCCCAGTACAGACCATGCCCAGCACTCCCCTCCCAGCATCGCCTCTGCTCCCTCTCGCTCTTACCGATGAGGAGTCCCGTGAAGGGCTCGTGGGGGCTGTACGGGCACCGTCCTCGCCCCGATTCCAAGGAGTGGGTCACCAGCTGCATGAAGGGAGCCCCAGGACCCTGTCAGAGCCAAGGGGGAGATGTCAGCCCAGGGGAATAAGCTGGGATTGTGAGGAAGAGTGGGAAGGAGGCTGGAGTGCTCAGGTCTGTGATGAGTAGGGTCCTTGAGGAGGATGCCAGGACCTGGTCCCATCTCCATGGGACACCCTGGCACTGCCAAGCTGGAGTTGCTCTCGCCATGTGAATGCCAGGAACTG